TGAGGAGGAAGCATGGAAATTTATGTCATGCTAATTAGTAGAGGTGATAAACATTGAAATCTACCTGATGACTTTATAGACATACACAGGCGCCAAGGATCCAAGTGCAACCAATTATGACTAGCAATAATCAGATACCTACAGATTAGAGATGCAAGCACCAGTATTAGTAGCAAAAACAATGAGTCTTTCTGAAAGGAACAATATATTCTAAAATGAAATGGAGATCTTTTTTAAAGGTTAAAAGCTCATCCAATTTTGTCTTACAGTGCTTATACTGAGTTCAATAATATGTAACTGTATTAATTCAACTGTGAACCTAGAAACTTGCACCCACTTGTGAAAGAGATATACTCTTGCACTGGAGCATGTTATTACTGAATATGTTAAAGCTGTAGTGAAATGCTTCTTCTAACCATGAGGTTATTTTTAAAAAATTATTTTTTATGTGTATGAGTGTATTGCCTGCATGTAAGTATACCCATGTACTACAATGCCCACAGAGGTCAGAAGATGGTGCTGGATTTCCTTGGGACTGGAGTTAGGATGGTTGATAGCTGCCATGTGGGTGCTGGGAATAGAACCCCGGTTCTCTGAAAGAGCAGCCAGGGCCCTTAACCTCTGAGAAATCTCTAGCCCCTCAAAAAATATTTTTATCTAGGCAGGGGATGGTGGCACACGCCTTTAGTCCCAGCACTTGGGAGGCAGAGGCAGGCAGATCTCTGTGAGTTCAAGGTCAGCCTGGTCTACATAGTAAGTTCCAGGCCAGCTGGGGCTACAGGAGACCCTGTCTCAAAACAAAACAAAAAAATTATCTATGCTAGGTCCTTTGCCTTTTAGAGTAAGCTGCAGTGTGCCCAAAACATGGATAAGATCATCTTAGATCCACAATTAGTGGAAAATTCTTAGCAACTCTTCCATAGGAAGCCAGTTTGGGACTCATGAGACACGTGTGCTCAAGAGTATCAAGAGCAGGACTGTCACAGAGCCTGGGACAAGGATGTGGAGATGTAGAGGACTCACTGAGAAGAAAGGGAAGGACCAGAATACCTCAAACACAAAGGAGTTTGAAAAGCACACCAGGAATGTAGCCATGAACAGCATAAAATTCTAGGGGACAAGAAACTGAGGATTAAGAGCAGCCCTTGGCTGAGGCAATTTAGAAAGATTTCTTACAGATGCTAGGAGACTGCTATCTGTAGCTACCAAAGGGGAGCCCCAGCGAGGAAGAAAAAGACAGTGAGGAGAGGCAGTAAAGAGAGTGATGAAGAGGGTTCAGCAAACTGGAAGCCTGAGGGAGAGTACCCACAGAGAACTATACCACAGAAGAGGATAAGGAGATAGGGGAAAGGGTTAGGAGGTGAGGAACAGGACAAAATGGAAGCACAGTGACAGGTCAGAGTTGAGTTGGCAGGCTCTGGTTACTAAGGCTCTGGCCATACATTCTTCTGGGCTGCTCCCTTTCTTCCTGGTATCCAGCCCATTCCCACAACAACAGCTCTTGATTGGTCTGGTGGTAGGGGAGGCCTTATCCAAAATGCTTTAAATGCTATTTATTTTAAAAATTAAATGACTGGAGCAGTGGTACACACCTTTAATCCCAGCACTTGGGAGGCAGAGGTGGATCTATGTGAGATGAGGCCAGCCTGATCTACACAGCAAGTTCCAGGCCATCTGGGGCTATAGGGAGATTCTGTCTCAAAAAGCCAAAATAAATAAATAAAATAAGAAATATCAAAGTACAAAATAACTTAAAAACTCAACACAGAACCCCACTAGAGATAAACTACCACTCATTTCTGGTATATAATCTTCAACCTTTTCAAATACATAAACATATTAAATCTTTTCACATTCTTTGCACCAACTGTTTAGAAGCCCACCTTTCTTACCTCTAGGGACTCAGCAGAGAGGATTTCAAGGACTTCTCAAGACACATAGGCTATATGCCTCCCTCATTTCACCCTACTGTGGGGTTTAGGCAACTTCTGATGTCTATTACCGTAAGCACCATCATAACATGCCCACCAACCCTTTAGACTCATTCCCCAAAACAGACTACCCTGAAACATGGATTCCTGGGTCAAAGATGTATCAGTCAAATTAGCTCCAAGAGAGCTTGGCTTTGTTATTTTCAATCTCCCCAAAATCTCAATTTAATGTCCCAAACTGTGGTACTGTGTTGAGGATGAAACCAAGAGTTTCAAAGAACCACATCTCAGCCAAAACAATAGTTTCCAAACTTTTCTCCTCTCTAGTCTTATACAAAACCTCCACCTGTAGGCAAATGCCTGCTGCTCTTGTCATCTGAAGTCAGGGCTGGTGACATGAAGCAGAGGCATTGCTCATCTGCCCAGCACTCTGCTCTAGGCTTGCCTGTGAGATGGTACCAATCTCTCCACAGGACCCCAAAAACCTGCTGGCTAACAGCTCCATCGCCTGAGTTCTGTCAACAAGACCAAAGACCATAGTGGTATCTGATAAGCTGGCAGCAGTGAGGAGAGGCGAGGAACCCGGAAGCTCCTTCATCCTTCTTAAGCCTCAGGTGCACCACTCACATGAGGGGCCTCCACTGAGCTCAGAGACCTTTTTAAGGGTAAGACACTATTAAAGGACTGGAGAGACGGCTCAGTGGTTAAGAGCACTGACTGCTCTTGCAAAGGACCCAGGTTTGAATCCCAGCACTCACATGGCTGCTAATTCCAGGTCCAGGGAATACAAAACCTTCTTCTGACCTCCAAGGGCATTGCACAACAAGGGTGCACTTAACATACATGCAGGCAATACACTCATACACATTCAACAAAATAATAAAATCCTTTTTTAAAAAGGATAAGACAAGCCAGGCGTGGTGGCACACACCTTTAATCCCAGCACTCGGGAGGCAGAGGCAGGTGGATCTCTGTGAGTTTGAGGCCAGCCTGGTCTACATAGCAAATCCAGGTCAGCTAGGGCTACAGGGAGACCCTGTCTCAAAAGACCAAAAAAGGGTAAGACACTAAAAGTTCCTAGCACAATTTAACCAACATCAGAGGCTGGTAAAACACAGATAGTTACAGAGAGTCCTACAAAACCAAAACAAGCAAACGCTCCTAGGACTTGCAGAAATATAAAGATGAGGTCCCAATAAATCCGATTTCACTATGCATATTCAAAACAGAAAAAGTTATAAATGTTGGGCTGGGCATGGTGGTACATGCCTTTAATCCCAGTACTCAGGAGACAGAGGCAGGCAGATCTCTATGTTCAAGGCCAGCTTGGGCTACAGGGAGACCCTGTCTCAAAAAACAAAAACAAACAGATATTGGACAAGAAACAATTCAGAATTATTTTTCTACTCACCTTCATAAGGAGTCATCTCAGGGCCTCGGACAACATAATGCCTGAAAAAGAGAGATTACTTGGATTTGTGGTTTATGAATTCTCCAAAACTAGAGTTCTCACAAAAGGTCCCACACTGCTGTTGGGGGTTTAGGGCACCCACTACCCTAAGTAAAAAGAAGGCAAACACAGAGTATGGCTCATGCTAAGCCCTCCTCCTAGGAGTCTGTTTTAGCAGGTGCCAGCACATGTGCCTATATGACCATTCCAAAAGAACCTAGGCACCAAGTGTTTGATGAGCTCCTAAGTGACACTTCATAAGTGTTGTCCAAGCTTATGCTGGGGAGCTATGTGCACCTTGAACAAATGCCCAGGGTCAGGAATATAGAAGCTTGTGTCTGCATTCTTGTGGACTTCACCCCAGAAACCTCTGCACTCTGTTGACTTTTTTTCAGTCTTTTCATTCTAGCAAACCTCAAAGGCCAGAGATGGCTCATGAAGGAAAGGAAGTTGCTGCCAAGCCTGATGACTAGTTCAATTTGCAGGACCCACATAGTGAGAGAACTGACTCCCAAGTTATCCTCTGACCTCCACACACATGCTATGGCATGCAGACCCTCACCCCCACACAAAGTAAATGTTATAAAAAAATTGAATGTAAATCTTTTTTACTTTTTATTATTATTATTATTATTTTTTTTTTTTTAACTATGTAGACCAGGCTGGCCTTGACTCACAGAGATCCACCTGTCTGTGCCTCCCAAGTGCTGGGACTAAAGGCATGCACAACCAGTCCTGGCCTACTTTTTATTATTTTATGTGTATGAGTATACTGTCTGCATGGATGTAAGTGCACCTATGTCTTGCAATGCCTAAGGAGGTCAGAAGAGGATGCTGGATTTCCCTGGAACTGGAGTTACAGACAGTTTTTAGCCACCATGTGGGCGCTGGGAATCGAACCTGGGTCTTCTGCAAAAGCAGTCAGTGCTCTTACTGCTGAGCCTTCTCTCTAGCCCAATTTTTAAAAAATATTTTTAATTATTTTTATTTTATGTGTATGAGTGTATTGCCTTCATGTGTATAAGTGCACCCACATGGTGCAATGCCTGAGGAGGTCAGAAGAAGGCGTTGGAGTACCCTAGAATCGGAGTTACAGGTGGTTGTTAGCCACCATGTGGGTGCTGGGAATCAAACCCAGGTCCTCTGCAAAGGTTAAGAGTCAGTGCTCTTAACCGCTGAGCCATCATCTCTCCAGCCCCAGCCCCCAATTTTAATGTAAATCTTAACTGAGTCCTCCGTGGCGCAACATCAAACCAAGGGGTGGTCTTAAGAGACCTCTGACCCACAGGAAGAGGGGTTCTACATACAATAAAGATATTTCTACAAATGAGGTAAGATGTAAACCCCCTCATGAAACTTGTCACTATATCTACCAACTGTGTCCCAGAGACCACCTCTGATTTTTACCACTGTTCTAGTGCTCTAAGAAGCCTTTAGCTGGGCATGGTGGCACACGCCTACAGTCCCAGCACTTGGGAGGCAGAGGCAGGTGGATCTCTGTGAGTTCAAGGCCTGCCTGGTCTACAGAGTAATTTTGAGGCCAGCTGGGGCTACAGGGGGACCGTTTCGGAAAAAAAAAAAAAAAAAAAAAAAAAGAGAGCCTTTAAGCCTTGCCTCAAGAATCTTCTGTAAACCACATCCAACCTATAAAAAAATACTTTTTTTTGGGGGGGTCTTTTTGAAGCAGGGTCTCCCTGTAGCCCCAGCTGTCCTGGAACTCATTATGTAGACCAGGCTGGCCTTGAACTCATAGAGATCTGCCTGCCAGTGCTTCCCAAGTGCTAGGACTACAGGCGTGTACCACCACGCCCAGCAAAAATACTTTTTAATTCAGTAAAACCTCTTCTATGGATTTAGAGAAATTTTTAAAGTATTTTTTAAGGATCAAGATAAAACATCCATCAAAGCAAGAGAAATGCTTTTTTTAGTACCTAGTCCACTCTTTTTCTCACAAAATAACCCCCAAGGCAGGTAATGAATATTTCAACAAAGAACATGTAGTTTCATGACTCCACACTTTAACACAGCAAAAGAGCTACTCTGAAACAAATGTTTTCCACAGGTCCTCTTGCTGTTAGCTTGAGGGTCAGGAGCATTTGGCCTAGGACAGAGCAGGGTTAGTGTCAGGACTTTGTCACCAATCCTATTCTAGGCAAGACAACTAATTCCCAGTGTCCAGAAGGATGTACGGGGGCAACAGAGGAAAGCCCTATGCACCTAAAGCTTGAGTTAAAGACCATCCAGGAAAAATTTTCTTTTTAGACTTAGCCTAAGCCAAGCAGGACTCCATGATGTTTCTGGCATGTCTTTTACTACAAAGTCCAGAGTGTCCATGGGCCTCAAGTATCCACCCAAAGCTGAGGACTTACAAGACTGCCTCTTCCATGCACAGGCCCACCAGCTGGGCCACCATAGAGCCTTCAAGAGAGTGATTATGATGCAGGGTGAGCAGGGACACAGAGCCTTACCATTCAAGAATATTTGAAGGGAGGGGCTCCGCACAAATGTAAGGCACCGGGTCTTTCTTAATGCGAAGGTAGTCCTGCTTCAACCTCTGTGTCGCTGTTGTTGGGGCTCTCTTGTTGCTGTTGCTGCTCATCTATTAGAAACAAGCATTTCTATTTACAGGGAACAAACGCATGCTTTCGTCACCCACAGCCAACCCTAAGAGTTGAACACCTCTGCTCTCCTTTCTGCAGTCCACCACCAATCAGGCCCTGCCCTCAGTTCTTTTTCCATGTGTGTTCCCCAACCAACACCACTTCATTTATGTAACATGTTACTGAGCACCTAACATAGAAGCAAGAAGAGACTATCATAAAGCTGCATTCCTGAGACTGGAGAGATGGATGAGAGGTTAAGAGCACTGGCTGCTCTTGCAGAAGACCTGGGTTTGAATCCCAGTATCCACATGGTGACTAACAACCATCTGTAACTCCAGTTCCAGGGGATCTGACACCCTCCACTGACCTCCTCAGGCTTTACACAACATAGGTGTACTTCCATACATGCAGGCATAACACTCATACATATACAATTTTAAAAAAAAAAAGCTGCATCCTGTCCTCAAAGAACTTATATGGATAAATTTATTCAAATGGGACCTGAGTAGGATGTTGATGCCAGCCTGGACCAGCTCCAGAGAGAAAGTATACACATCTTCCAACCCTATACTCAACAATACCTCAATGATGGACATTTCATAGCAGGAAATTGGTGAGAACCACAGCGCCTCTCCTCACCCTGGAGTAAGCCACAAGTAATAGCAGGAGGCAAAGAGATGTGAGGCTGGAGAAATGGGGACTTTCAGACACCTGAACGCACTTACTAGGCAGCAGGGAAGGTGTACACAGGAGACAGCACTGGTCACTAGGTCAGGAGCTCAACACAGTGAAGAACAGGGGACAGAATTTAGCCAGTGAGGCAAAGCCAAATTGCCAGAATCCCAAGAAGAGTTTTAGGCCTTAAGGCACATCAGAACTTCTATTAGATCATAGGGAAATCCGGCAAATCAGCATAGGGCAGCACTGAAGGAATCATGCAGGAAGTGGCACCATGACACCAATCAAGAGAGAAGACTTGAGGCTGGAGAGATGGCTCAGTAGTTAAGAACACTGGTTGTTCTTGCAGAAGACCTGGGTTCGAATCCCAGCATGCACATGGCAGCTAACAACTGTCCGTAACTCCAGTTCCAGGGACTCTGACATCCTCTTCTGTCCTCCAAAGGCACTGCACAACACGGGTGTACTTACCTACATGCAGGCATAACACTCACACATATAAAATTAAAATATTTTATTTATTATTTTTATTTTATATGAATAAAATATTTTTAAAAAGGAGTCAGGTGTTGTCGGTACACACCTAATCCCAGCACTTGGGAGGCAGAGGCAGGATCTCTGTGAGTTCAAGGCCAGCCTGGTCTACATAGTGAGTTCTAGGTAAGCTGGGGCTACAGAAAGACCCTATCTCAGAAAGAAAAACAAAAAAACAGGAGATGAGCTTGGTTGCAGGCTGAACCTACACAGTAACAGACAACCATGCCTTTTGACCCTGGAAGCCTGGATGTGCCCACTGCAGTCTCTTTTCTCCCCTAACATCATCTCTTTGCTATTCTGTCCTTACCAGACTCCTGAATCTGCCTCCCTTGACCAGTACTGGTGCCTCAGACCAGGGTGTGTCCTCAATCTGTACCTCCAGGGCTTGCAGAGGGATGGCAACTCACTCAGGGTATCCACCACAGCCCTCTCAAGGGAGTGGTCTCAGTTGGCTTCTCAATGGGGGACCTTGATTCTTGCAATACTTGTTCATTTCCTTCCCATTCCAATAATCCTAATGCAGGAATTCATTGCTTTCCTATCAACCACAGGAACTTCCAGTCTCTTCCACTTCAGTTCATCCTGCGCATTAAGTCAGTTTAGCCATCCACTCCCCATCAAACACAGCAGATAAATGTCAACAGCTCTCTCATCTGTCAAACCCTCAAGGCAACCCCATGCAGCCCTTCTAATTCCTACAGCACTTAACAAGCCCAATCTACTCAGCCCTTCTCAAGGCTGCTTCCCAGCCCAGTTTGGACTGGTGGAAAATACTTACATCCATCCTTACCTAGCTTGAGCCTCCCTGTTTTTCCTAGTCAATGTCTCCTCTGTCCTTTTCCACTAGCCCCCGCTGTGGTCTAAGAGCATAGCACACAGACCCTAATGGCGTCAGTAGAAGTGAGAGCAGGTTCTTTTGCCTAGCCCTTCCAAGAATGCACACATCAGGAACAGGGTCAAAGTCTAGGTGACTTCCACAAAGCACTATCCCCAAGCTCTTGGTTTCAGAAGCTGTGTGGACCAAAGAGCTCACCTTGATCAGCACCTAGTAAGAAACAAAATCTAGTGATCTATAAGCCGAACCACAAGACTTGTTCTTTCTCTTCAATGTTCACCCCTAAGGCTAACATTCCAACATATATGAAATAATTCACTAGGTAATTCCACACATAACTGCTTGGATTCAGCTAATTGGCCAGATAGGACGCTTTATCAGTTATTGGAAAGACACAGAAAATGAGTAAACTAAGTTTTGCTGGGTTACGGATGTAGTTGATTCACTGCTTAGCAAGCACAAAGCCCTGGGTTTGATCCCTGGTACCACATAAACCAAACACAGTGGTGCATACCTATATAATTCAGCACTGGATTAAGCAGAAGAATCAGAAGTTCAATGTCACCTGGGCTATATAGAATTTGAAACAAAAACAATACAAACAGAAAAAAAAAAAAAAAAAAACCCCAAAGCGTGTTTTGCCTAGTCAGTCACACGGCAAACATCTCTTATCCTTGCTTTTATGTATTTTATTTTTGGTACTGGAGATTGAACCTAGAGCCTCACACATGCTAGCCAAATGTTGTGTGACTCTTAAACAGCTACTCAGTTTCCCTAGCTGTTCCTCCTATACCTCACTCAGAACAATGCTCTCTTTCATGACTCTCCCAAGGGATTGCAGGTAACAGGAAACAACCAGAGTCAGGAGCAAGACCATCTGTCTTTCCAGTCGTGTGTGTCATCTCTCAGACCAAGGTGGTAGCTCCTTTTTCGTCTAGACATCTCTCCCCCACACCAGTACACATAGCTCAGGTAATGGTGTGGCATGAGACCTTAGCTTACTAATCAGAAGGGTACATGACACATTCGAGGCCCAGTATTTCCAGGGAAGTCTCACCTTCTCCAGCATTGCTTCATCGGCTGGATGGAAGTCATGATCCAGGCAACCCCAACACCACCCACACACACAACTGAGAATGGAGCTGTCTCTGAGGTCAGGAACACCAACGTGTGAAGGCTATTAATTCCAAGTTCTAGACAGCTAGACCTAGCTATGCCTGAAAACTGGACTTTTCAATGAAATGAAATACTAAAGTTCCTTTCTTGTAAAGCCAAATTACACCAAGTTTCACACACTTGGAATGAAGAGAGCTTAGTGCCACTACCTACAAATAAAGGATAATTTTATACATTTAGTTGTTTTCCACTGGGCTGTTGCCTTATCTCTTTCTGTCTATCCTGGTCTGACGAGATGTTGGGAATTGGACTTGAGTTACACATACATCTAAGTGGGGTACACTGAAAAGGAAGCCAGGTCATTGGTTGGGAGGATGCAGTTAGCAAAGGATAGTGAGCTCCCCCCGCACAGGACGTGGGGGTTTGTTCAAGGTCCAAGTCACACTGTCACTGCCCAAATGTTCTGTTCTATTATCCCCCAGGCGCATAATTCTGGGCACGCTAGTTTCTGTTGGAAATTATGAAGTAGTTTGAGGTTCTAACTGTTCAGGAGGGGGGCGCTCAACGGCTGCCATACCCCAAGACGGACACCCCACTTCCCGGATACATTTACAGTGATCAACCCTGGCTCCTTCTCCAACTATCTGCAAGTGCACCAACCAACAGGCCTCTTCGTGGGAGATTCTGTCGTGCGGTAACCCAATCTCTCATCTGGCCGGTGGACCACCCCCCGCCAGGAACACCAGGTGCCCTCAGTAACGGACCTCGGATCCGCGCAGGGACCGACAGCGGGGCACGGCAGGCGCCGTTCCGAACCAGACTCTCCGAGCCGGGTCCCTTGAGTCCTCGCGCCCCGGCCCGCCCGGCAGCCGGCTCCTGCGAGGCGGACAAGCCGCCGGAGTCTCCGCGCAGCCGCGACCACGCTCACCTCTCCCTGAGGCCGCCGCCGCGCTCAGGCTCGCCCTGGTCGAGGCCGGAGCAGGGTGCGGAAGAGTGGGGCCAGCGCCGTGAGCCGCACCCGCGCTGGGACTCAGCCCACCGCACCCACCGCAGCGTCTCCACCGCCACCGCCGCTCAGCTTCCAAGATGGCCGCTCGATGGCTGAGTCCCGGCTTCGCTTCCGCTTCCGGTGTGCTGTTTGCGAGGCGAGGCAGCATCTCTAGGCAGCTGGGAGGACCGCTCCATCACCCCTTTCTTGTGTCTCCACGGGCTCTGGATACCGGGTCTCGGTGCTCCGAGTGCGCACCGGCGAATAGCTCTGGGACCGTGGTGGCGCCCCTCGGCTAGAGGGGACTGAACAGGCTGCTCGACCTTCCAGGACACCCGCGGGGCCGATCCCCAGCAATGAGTGGCTGCGGGGACCACGCAATGCTCCCCTCCCACAGTCTCCAGCCAGTCCATTCCGCCAGGCCCTGAGTTCGCTGCGACTTTGGACTACCACCGACCACCTTCTGTCTGCTCTTAACGGGAGGCCTCCGGGTCACCCAGCGGTCCATGCAGGGCAACTGAGAGGCCATAGTCGTGGCCAGCCCGACAACCCCACGACAACCCCCCTGCCCTGGGGACAGCCGTCCTCGTAAAAATAGTTCAGTGTTTCCTGGCCGAACTTTCCACCCAGTCCATGAATAGGGTCATTATGCTCAGAGACATTGCGCTAAGGCTGGTTTTCCGCTCCCACGGCCCCCTCCCTGGCCCTGGGGAGGGGAGGTTTCGCAGCTTGGTCACTTGGCAGGGCTGGCTGGCTAGGCTGAGACAGGGGGCTGCCAGTGAGTATGTTCTGGGTGCTTCTTTAGACCTTGACAGCAGAGGAAGCAGGACTGAGAGAAGCTGAGATGTCCAGACTTGCTCAGCCCGCCATGCTCACATTCTTGCCTCACCTTTGGATTCTTGGGATTCTCAAGTTTGTTCTCATGTTGGTGACATACATGTCACATGCACAGCCCAGCACCCTTCCTCCTTCATTTACCTACTGAACTCTGTGTACCTAGGCTCCAGGAAACCAGGCTGGACATGGCAAGTGTTGCGGCAGCAGTCCTCTCTGCCCCCTCCAGTTTGGAGGACAAGCTAGGGCTGGGGTCTGAACAAAAGGAGGTCTGGATGTTTGCACATCTCCTGCCTTCCTTTGAAAAGCAGTGGAAGACTGGACCAAAAGGTATTTCAGATGTCCCCAGGCATGGGGGATGTCTCAGGATGGACAGAGGCAGTAATTCACCTGTACCAGGAACATTATAGTGTCTGGCTGTCCAGCTGTGTGGAGCACAGCTGCTGTTCAACCTCAAGCCCTCATCCTTCACTAGGACCCTGACTCAGCATCAGCCATGGGTCAACAAACCGACCATTAACAATTGGTGACTGAGACAAAGCACCATCAGCCCAGCTGTGGCCACTGACAGGTGGCAAGGTGGTAAATATGCCCACTCAAAGCATCTTTAGCTGTAATCTGGGCTGCTGTAGCAGGGTTGGCCCCTGAGTCCTGGAGCAAAATCCAGGAATGTCCATTTGTCTGTTAGCCCACCATGACAAGTTGGCTGTGAGAGTGCAATGGCTTCTTGTGCCTTCCATTGCCCAGTTCAGGAAACATGTCAGCACAGAGTTCCTCTGCCTCCTCCCTGGGCTCTATAGTCCCTGCTCAGGGTGGACTGAGCCACTTTTCTTTCCCCCGCACCACTGTAGCTGGAGGTTAAAAGAGCCACCCTCAATGGGCAGGTGGCCCCAGTTATGCACAAGCAACATGGTATGATGCTGCAGCTTATCTGGACTGAGCCACTTTTAAAGGATAGAAAGTTAGGAAAGAGAAGCCACCCTACACAGGGGTGGGCTGTCAATACAAGCATGGACTATCTGGGGCATACCCAGGCAAACAGCAGCCAATACCTGGACCATAGTCACTCTCTTGACTGCTTGTCCTTTTGTAAAATAGAGCATTAACACACCCACCAAGGTAGCATGGGTGCCTAGAGCATCATGGTAGTAAGACATCATGGTAGCAGACAGGACCCAGTTCAGAACCCCCAGCCCCTGAACAACTAAGTCACACCTGAAGGGGTAAGATTGGGGCAGATGTGACCAGGAGGTCCTGCCAAACCAGAGCCCTCATCCCTTCCACACACATCTTCAACCTTCTGGTCAGTGGGACCCAGGATTCTCTACCCTCTATGCATAGCGCTGATGGCCTTAGCAGTTGAAATAGAGTGGCAGAAAGACTGGCAATAGGAGATGACTGTTACCTCCTCAAACTCCAGAGCCAAACCCCTGAGGGTAGAAGCCATCTTTCTGTATGGGAGAGTCTGGTATTTGCCCCCAAGATGGATCTCCTGCCAGTAAACTCTATGGATGGCTGAGCTGTAGGAAAGAGACAGCTGACCACTACTCAACATTTTGGGCAGAGTTTCCTCAGTGTTGTAACAGCTGCCAGAAGAAAGGTTGGAATAAAAACATATATGCCAGGGCTGGTGAAATGGATCAGCAGATGAAGGCACTTGCAGCCACACCAATTGTGATGACTTAACTTCAATCCCTAGGATTCACATGGTAGAAGGAGAGAATCAACTCCTGTAAGTTGTCCTCTAACTTCCACATGTGCACCATGGTACATCTCCACCCCCCCCCACAGATACAAAATAAAGAAATGTAATTTTTTTTTAATTATAAGAGTGTGCCAAGCATGGTGGCATACACCTTTAATGCCAGCACTTGGGAGGCAGATCTCTGTGAGTTGGAGGCCAGCCTGGTCTACATAGCGAGTTTCAGGCCAGCTGGGGCTGCAGAGAGATCCTGTATCAAAAAGACCGGAAAAAAAAAAGTTATGAGTGTTGGAGAGATGGATCCATGGTAAAAGTGTTTGCTGCTCTTCCAGGGGACCCAAGTTTAGGAGTTTGGTTCCCAACACTGATGTCAGACAGTTCACAACCACCTGTAACTCCAGCTCCAGGGAATCTTACACTTTTTCCTGGTATCTGGGGGCAACCTCACAAACATGGCATATTCTCTCTCTCGCTCCATGTCTCTCTCTGTGTCTCTGTCTCTGTGTCTCTGTCTCTCTGCCTCTCTCAAAATAAAAATAGGAGGCTGGAGATATAACTGCTCAGTGGTTAAGAGCACTGGCTGTTCTTGCAGAGGACCCAGGTTTGCTTCCCAGCACCCTCATGGCAGCTAATAACTGTTCCTAACTCTGGTTCAAAGGCTATCAGATGCCCCCTTCTGGCCTCTGGGGACATTGCACAACGTGGGTACACTTAACATGTAGCCAAAACACTCATACACATAAAATTTTTTAAAATAATTTCATTTTAAAAAATTAAAATAAGGCCATGTGTGGTGGCACACACCTTTAATCTCAGCACTTGGGAGACAAGTAGAGGATCTCTCTGAGTTCAAGTCCAGCCAGGGCTACACAGTGAGACCTCATCTCAAGAATAAATAAAAATAAGCCAAGTATGGTGACCCACATTTTTAATCCCAGTCCCTTTAATCTGGTGCCCTCTTCTGGCCTCCATGGGCACCTGCACAAATGTGGCATATCCTCATAAACAAACACACATATCAAAAACGATAAAAATAAGGCCAAGTGTGGTGGCATGTGCTTTTAATCCCAGCACTCGTAGATGCAGAGGCAAGTGGATTGGGTTCAAGATCATCCTGGTCTATATAGCAACTTCCAGACCAGCCAGAGCTACATAATGAGGCCCTATTTCAAAATATAATAATAATAATAATAATTT